AAAAATTCAACCCCGTTCCAATAAGAGAAATGCATTTTTAACTTTAGTGGGTAAAAATCTAAAATCTTGACAATACAGTCTGTTGACGAGGCTGTGGAGAAACAGAGACTTTCACACATTTCTGGTGGGAATGTAAATTAGTATGGAAGGCCAATATAAAAATTTGACCCAGCAATTCCATTTTGGGGATTTTTATGCTCCACATAGCCTTACATTATAAATGTAAAGGTTATTCATGACAGCAATCCAATAGCAAAAGGCTGGAGACAATCCCAAGTCCACTAAAAGTGACTGGTTAAATAATATTGTACATTTATAACATGGAGTACTGTGTAGCTGAAAAAAAGAATAGAGAAGCTTTTCATGAACTGATATGAAAAGATCTCTAAGACGTATTAAGTTAAATAAAAAACAGAACAATGTGCATAATAAGCTACATTTTGTGTTACAAAAAGGGAAACAATCTATATTTGTGTTGACCTGTAGGTACACAAGACACTTCAAAAGAAACTAAGAACAATATTTCCCTGGATGGAAATTCATCAAAATGTTAGAGCCTTTGTAAATGATGGGAATATGGGTGATTAAAGAAATTATAAGAACTTTCATTATACCCCATAATTTATTTATATTTTTAAATGCAAAATGAAGTTTTAAATGATTTTCCAGGAAGATGAACCAAGTCTATCTGTAGCATTTTGTAGCCCAGATGTACGTGCTTATGAATAATAGCAGCAAGGGATGAGTGCTGTGGAGAGTCTATGGGCTTGTTCTCTGGTTAACATTTGTCACATCCTTCCAGGGACAATAATTTGTCCTAACCCCCATTAGACCAATTGGAAAAATTCCAAATGGGCTGACACATAGGAGTTAGCAAGGCAAAATGCAAATAAACATGAGAATGAAACGGGGCACATCCATACTTCGGCTAATTCAGAGATGAGTACTTATGAATGTCACCCCAGGCACAGCCCACACTTCAGAAGATAATTTCTTATGGAGGAAATTTGGGGTTATCCCAATGGAAGCAGTATCTTGAGAGCTTGCAAAAGCAAAAACCTTTGGATAGCATTTAATTTTAAGTTAAATAAAAATGAAACATAAATTCCAGACAAAGTGCATAAGTCAAACTACTTGGTATTACGAGTAATTTTAAAGCAAACACTCATGCTACTACCATTGTGCTGGAGAAATATAATGCCATATCCTCAGAAGCAACTCCAAGTGTCCCTTCTTGATCACATCCCTTTCTCTCCCTTGAAAGATAATCACAGTCTTCACTTTCATGGTAACTACTTCTTTGCTTGCAGTTGTAGTATTACCACCTTTCATTTTGCTTGTTTTAAAACCTTATTTACAAGAGCCATTTATGCTGCATGGAGCTACATTTTGTTCATTCTGCCAACTACATAATATTCCATGGCATGCTTGTACCACAGTTAAAATATCCATCTAACTGAAGACGGACATTTGGAATATCTCCAGTTTAGGGCTTTAAGAATGATGCTGATATAAACAATATCTAGATGTATGTGGGTTCATAGCATGAGTTTTTCTAGGGTAATTAATTACCCCTGAGTGAAATTGCAGGGTTATGGGGTATGAATAGTTTCTTCTTTTCTAGATACTACAAAATGTTTTCCAATGTGGTTTTATCAATGTATACTTTTAGCAGTCTACTAAGGTTCTTCACCAAAAGTTCTAAATGCTCAGTTTAGTCAGACTTCTGAACATTTGCTAGTCTAATAGGTAGATAGTAAGATCTCATTATGGTTTTAATTTTCATTTCACTGTTGATGAATGAAGTTGTGTGCCTCCTTATATATTAATTGGCCATTTAATATATAAGGATATCTTTTGCCTGTCCTTTTATTGGATTGCGTTTCTTTAAAAGTGTTTAAAAGGCAAATGCCAGACTTTCAAAGATTTTCAAAAGACCCAGATTTTCACAAAACCTTTTAGCGTAATTATCTGGCATAAATTATTCATCAGATGAATTGGGCCTAAGCATTTGCCCATCTCACTCCCTGCTGCCAGTTTTCTGCCCATGTACCCAGATCAATGAATGACGCTAACAACAGTAGGTAACATTCACTAGATTCTTTCCAATGTGCATGGCACTGAGCTAAGCAAGTACCTTATTTACTTCTCTCAACACCTCTATATGGACTGTACTATTAGGCTTAGGAGCTTGAATAACTTGACTATTACGACTCAACTAGAGAGAGATGTAGCTGGGAGTTGATCACTCATTTAACTCTCAAGCCTATGCTCTTACCCTGTCTCAAAATAAAATTTCATTATGGTTTCAAATTTGGAATTACTGTGTACTGTGGAAATGGCAATCATTAGTTCTAATAAAAGAGAATATGATAAAGTACTTAGTTTAGAACTGATGGAATTTAAATTCCCTAAAAAATATATCATGATGCATTATGACAGATACTGACAAAAATAAAATAGGTTTGCATAAAGCTTACACTTATGTTTGTATCACAGACAATATGTGAATGGCAAATGTGGATGCTTTCAACTTACCACTGCATCTATAAACATTTTATACATCTTGAATAGATAAAATCAGGAGCTCTTATTCCAGGCCCATTTGTTTTTAGGTTAAAATCATGAAATAAACAATAATGGCAAACCTAACCATGCATCCAGTAGCAGTTACCCAAAATTCTTTAAAGGTAACTTGAAAGGACAGTCCAAAACATTGAGTCTCAAAGGGACTTTCTAATCATTAGTAAGCATAAAACAGAAAAATGTTTAAAAGTAAAACACTACTGTTTCTTGCATGAGATCCCAGAGATCTGTGAGAAAATAAACCTTTATTTCCAAGTTAAAATTTGAATTTGTTGGAAGATAAAAGAACTGTGCTTATTTGAAGCAAAAAGTTTCAGAAAGGTGATCAGACTTTGAAAAGCTCACAAGAACTAAGAACTGAGCTAAGGTCCATGAAGTTGACGGCAGTTTCTGAAGCAGTTTATATAATGAACTTTAATTCAGAGGGGTTTTTTTTCCCCCTTTTGAGGGAAGCTTCTGGCTTGAACATGTTCATGGGTCCCGTACAGCTTGTAAAGCTATGTTCTTTCTCCCACTGTGACTCTGCTCAGGCTTGTAGTTTCACTTGAAAGAAAAATGTTCAACATCTCCTAGGCTAAGCATTAATCCTCCCACTGCCTGATCAATTAAATCCCGCTGTCTGTGTCTGGAAGGCAAAGTCTGAACTTTATGTATTGCTTTCTGACAGGCTACATTTCCATGCTCCATGGAACAGATGCAGTAGTGTAACTCTGTGTGCAACAGGATTTTGGACCCTCAAATCTAGAGGGCCAACAGGTACAGTGTCTCATTTTACCATTTAATAAGTTCAAAGGTCTATAATGATTATATTATACTATCTAATGAATTTAGTTCAATAACAGTATCTTATCTTTCGTATGGCATTTAATAGCTTACAAGGCGAGAATACATTATCTTGTTTGCTCTTCAAAACAGTTTTTTATGTGAGGCAGTGCTTTATCATATTCCATTTAACAACGAGGAGAGACTGTGCTCTTGCCCAGGGTCACATAGCTAGAAACTGGCAATCTTGTAATTAACACCCAGATCTTCTGATTCTAATACAAGTGGTCTTTCTTTTACAATTCACTTAATAAACCCAAGATTGGAAAATTATAGAGGACTTTCAAAAGGAGCCATATTATCAATGTGCTTTGAATCCAGAAAACTGATGATAATATAAATGTCAAATTGCTGCTCACTTGAATAGAACAAAACAAAGAATAAGCCATTTTAATGTTGCCTCTAAGATAAGAAATTTTGGAAAATGTGCCAAGATAGCTTTAAAAAGCCCTAAATGTGATCGGTCAGGCCGCTGGAAGAGAAACAGGCTTGTCCTGTGGGGGACCTGTTACTCATAAGGTCTCAATGTTCTGGCCTTGCCTTCCCATGCATTTCACATGTATAGGTATTTTTCCAGCTGCAAAATCCTAGAAGGTAGGTGTTTTGGTTTAGTTTTCCCCAGAGACACATCCTGAGATAAAGATTCAGGTGCAAATGACTTATTTGGAAGGAGAAAGAAACACTAGTAGGGAGTGGGGCTAACAAAGCGTGTGTCATTGAGCCAGCTGCTACCAGGGTGACTGGAGCTTAATCCCAAGAGGAAACCCTGAACACAGTAAAACACACACCTCCGAGACCTCCCACCTGAAGGGGGAGGGAGCTGGGGTGTTCATATGCCAACTCCCATCAGTTTGTGTGTGTTTTTTTTTTGGTTGAGTTGGGTCATTGTTGCTGTGTGCAGGCTCTCTCTAGTTGCGGTGAGCGGGGGCTACTCTTCATTGCAGTGTGCGGGCTTCTCATTGCGGTGGCATCACTTGCGGAGCACAGGCTCTAGGCGTGTGGGTTTCAATAGCTGTGGCTCGCAGGCTTTAGAGCACGAGCTCAGTAGTTGTGGTGCACTGGCTTAGGTTGCTCCATGGTATGTGGGACCTTCCCAGATCAGGGCTTGAACCCCTGTCCCCTGCATTGGCAGGCGGATTCTTAACAACTGCACCACCAGGGAAGTTCCCCCATCAGTTGTTTTTGAGAGCTGCTGGGAGTGTGGAGGGAAGGATAATTCCCTTACCCTCTGGCATGCTGTGCAAGAGGGCAAAATGGCATTCTATAGGGTAGGAAAAAGTTCCCAGGCAAAGAAATGCAGACACTGGCAGGGCAAAGTCACTGGTAAGAGGGACACGGTAGTGTGCCCAAATGGTATGCTATATCAGGATCCAGGTCTTATATTTTAAAACTTTTCATTCAAAGTCCAGAATAGTATTTGGGACATAACAGTCTCCTGAAAATTATGGACACATCAACCTGACACAGAGTGGTTGTGAGAAATGTTTACAAATTAAAACCTAACATACAAATTAAATCCTAACCACCAGAAGAACAAAAGAAAGAAGGAACAAGAAAGGGCAAAGAAGGCACTGAAATTCATCTCTACTCACACTTTCTCATAAATCTTGTTGGGATGCTCCGGCCAATCGATCATGCACACCACTCGGTTGGGCATGGTCTCCGTGGTTGAGTAGTAGCCCTGGGGGAAGGCCAGGAGGAGAGCCAGGACCCAGATGACGCAGATGACCACCTTGGTGGCTGTGGCCGACAGTCGGGGCTGGAGGGGGTGGATGATGGCCATGTACCTGGAACAGAGAAGAAAGGACAAAAATTCCAATTTGGTCACCAAAATCTGCATTAGTGATTATGTATTGTTCCTGCCCAGTGAAAAATTCTCCAGAAGCCCTTTGAGTCCTAGTGATTTTTACAATTATTTTCTTTTTCATATTCTATCCTTAAGTTTTATGACTTTTATGACATAAATGCTAAACTCAGCCATATATTTTTAATATTTTAGAACCCATCTAGCAACATTTCAGGAGAGAAATTTTCATCCTTGTCCTTATGCTAGGGACATGATGCCTAAGTATATGTCAGTGGTTTACAGTGAAATAAGAAAAATAAGAACAACTTTGTAAATTTAGCCAATGTAAAGCCTATCTTTACCTTTTTTGGTTTAAGGAATAATGGTGATAGAAATAGTAGTTTTTAAAGTCCTGGTGTGGCAATTTTAAAGGCTAGCAATCCTGTACAGGTCCATACAATTTGAAGGGAAGTGAATGTGTACAAATGAGAAAGCAGTGGCCTAAAGCTAACAAAAAACCAATAGCTCCTGGAGAAATCTTCACCAATTCTTTGAACATCTAGAAGTCAGTGTATGGCTAACAAAGTATGCTTCATGAAGAGAAAGAGACTCTCCACCTCCTGAGACAGACACACTTGAGCATATCAAAGCCCAGGGTAGATGAAACCTCTCTGCAGGAAGAGGGAAGCAAAGTGAATGATGACTTTAGGTCTGGAGCCATTTCTCCATCTCTTACTTGGGATCAAGCACTGAGTGGTGTCATCTGAATGAGTGTCCACGTCTGAATTTGTGTATAGACTTTGAGATTTTAGAACTAACAAATATTCCAATCAGCATTTCATATCAGTTATAGTCACATCAATTCTGCCTCCTGCATTGAAAAAATCACCTACCTTTTAAAGGAATAGGTTTAGCCCAGTCCCCTAACACCCCTGCCCCGAGCTTTTGAGGTGTGTGGTGGACAGGAACGAAGCAGCTTGGGATGGAACACAGCTCACGCCCCTTCTAGGGTACTGCTCCCTTCCCCCATGTTGTGAGGACCCCTCCTGCCTGGAATCTTGTTCTCCAGTGGATGCTGGACTCAAAGTGGCTGAAGTCAAGTACTCCTACCTCACTGGCCTGGTTACAGGGTCCTCACTTGGGGAAGGGGAGCCATGCCAACCTCTTTTCCCATCCCTTTGTTACTATTTTGCACTCTTAACACCTGCCAATAAATATTGTCTACACTGAAAACAATTATTTTTTGCAGAGTTCATGGATCCATCCCTTAAAATATGTATTTTTTTTTTCACAGTAGGAATTATGTCTTATACCGCCTTTTGGGTTTAAGTATCTGACAAAGTCTCCGAATCATGCATTTGATTCTCTGACAGGCAGGTGTTTCTGGCTTCCATGGGACTGAATAGTCAATGGAGACTTCAGAAATGAGCAGACAAATAGAACAGCTGTCAGCTGGCTCCAAATAATTCCACATAATTCTTTTCTACAGTCTTTGGACTCTAGGATCTCTAGGCTGGAACTGGGGCCAGGCTTACAAGGAAAGCAATTTCATTCAGTATGTGCACTACAAATTCACACTGTGCACCTGCCGCACGCAGAGCACTGTGTTTCCTTGTGAACTCCGAGCTTCTAATTTCTCCAAGGAGAAAACGCATATAAATAAACAGCCACAAAACATGACAGTAGGATATGTGACCTCAAGTGGTAATCTGATAAATACCTCAGAGCCTTAGGGAGGCTGCAGATTCGGAATGGCAGGTGGATTATTGAAGAGGCTTAAAGGGGTGTGCTTGGCTGGATTTGGGGTGAGCCTGCTGAGCATCTGGCTTGAAGGGCAAGAAGCATTCAGAGACTTCCTCCCTTCTCCATGTTATGATTAGTTAGATCTTCCCTGTCTGAGAAGCGTGATGGCTCAGTTTTCATGAAGGCTTCCCTGATTGTCCTTTTATAGAATACCTTTTAGAATAACTTTTCCTAGATTTTCTTGCTAGGGACTTAGGCTTTCCTTCTCTGGTCTGTAAGAGCGATGGCACAGACAGTGTTCAGTATATGAAAGAATATTAGGATGCCTCAGGTCAGCTTTTACACATGTAATCAGAACTGATGATAGCTCCCCGGAAGGAAATACCCAGGATCTTTTCCTTCTCCCTCTTTTGGAAAGTGGTTAGGTAGTCTTTTTTAAAATTTATTTTATTCAAGTATTGTTGATTTATAATATAGTGTTAGTTTCTACTGTACACCAAAGTGGTTTATATATATATATATATGTACATTCTAAGGGTTGATAGTAATTCTTTTCCTTGTGATGAGAGCTCTTAGGATTTATTCTCTTAACAACTTTCATATATAACATACAGCAGTGTCAATTACATTTATCATGTTGTACATTACATCCTTAGTACTTTTTTATCTTATAATGAAAATTTGTACCTTTTGGCTACTTTTACCCAATTCCCACTCCCCAACCCCCACCTCTGAAAACCACAAATCTGATCTTCTTTTTCTATGAGTTTGTTTGTTTTTGAAGTATAACACTATGTTAGTTCCTGGTATACAGCATAGTGATTGGATATTTCTATGCAGTTCAAAATGATCACCATAAGAAGTCTGGTTGTGATCTGTCACCATAAAAAGATATTACATAATTATGGACTTCCCACACTGTACATTTCATACCCATGTCTCTACTCTTATTTGAATATTTTAGTCATGACATATCAGCAAGTCACTGTGCCCCTCCTTTGTCAAACACACAAAAGTGTCAGCATGACTCTGAAAATGTTATCACCTATTTGGGAAATATAATTATGCTTTAACAAAAGGACACTAAGTGTAGGTAGTCTTGAAGTCAGGAGAGAGCGGAATTAGGAATAGACTTGCAAAAGATATTGTGGTGGAGGTGAGTAGTAATCTATAAATCTCTGGGCAAATTTCCCTGGTTGATTTGGTGGTTATAAAGTCTGTTACTCAACTACCATCTACAGAGCATTGAAAGGGCAAAGACAGGGATTTCCCTGGTGGCACAGTGGTTAAGAATCTGCCTGCCAATGCAGGGGACACGGGTTTGAGCCTTGGTTCGGGAAGATGCCACATGCCACGGGGCAACTAAACCTGTGCATCACAACTACTGAGCTTGTGCTGTAGAGCCCGTGAACCACAAATACTGAGCCCACACGCCACAACTACTGAAGCCCGCGTGCCTAGAGCCCGTGCTCCGCAACAAGAGAAGCCACTGTAATAAGCCCACGCACCCCAACGAAGAGTAGCCTCTGCCTGCCGCAACTAGAGAATGCCCGCACGCAACAAGGAAGACCCAACGCAGCCAAAAATAAATAAATAAATTTATATATAAGAAAGAAAGGGCAGGGCTTCCCTGGTGGCGCAGTGGTTGAGAGTCCGCCTGTCGATGCAGGGGACACGGGTTCGTGCCCTGGTCCGGGAAGATCCCACATGCCGCGGGGCAGCTGGGCCCGTGAGCCATGACCGCTGAGCCTGCGCGTCCGGAGCCTGTGCTCCGCGGCGGGAGAGGCCACAACAGTGAGAGGCCCACGTACCGCAAAAAAAAGAAAGAAAGAAAGAAGGCAAAGACAACTCTCAACCTGCAGTGAATCAAGCATTGTCTGGCTACTTCCAACGGAGGTCCAGTATACTGCAGACCTGATGACCTTCTATACTTGGGGTGGTATCCTGAAAAGAATCCTGAGAAGTCTTGATTTCCCTCTTGGTTCTGCCTCTTTCCTGCTGCCTGACAGCAATGAAACCTTTGTTTCCTCTTTAGTCATGGGGTTGTTGTGGCAATCCTAGAATCAGAGCCAGTGGATGTGGATTTGTGCAATCCCTATTGTCTTCTTTCCAATTTGCTGAAGGGCTGGACCTGGTTGGTCATGACTAGAGTCTCTTTTGAGTGTTTGTATTAAAATTGTAGAATTGCTTACTGAAGCATTTCCCAGAGACAAGATCTTTCCCCTACAAAGCTGGACATGCAGCCGTGAAGATGCCTGTCTCAGCTTCAGCACCTCCCAGGCTCCTGCTTTCACTGTGTCTGTGCATTCTCAGACTTCACAGGAGCTTAGAGAGGATGCACAAGGGAGAATGTGGTGATTACACTGTCTCTTTTGGATATTATTTCAAATGCAAATTTTTAATTTACTTTTAACTCAGAATAAATGTTCAGACTTTAATAAATTTAACCTAACAGTCATCCTCATGGCCGAATTGGTGATACATGGCTCAGAATCTAATGTGACTGGGGCTTAAGGGGGATCGCATAAGCATATCAGTGCTGTAGCTCCAAATGGGTGGCAGAAAGCCATATTTTATTTTTATTGCAAAAATTGTAATTTGGAAGCCCATTTCAGTTAACTCTGCCATTTCCTGAGTGTAGGCGCTATTTCAGTGACAGATAAAAGTATTGTACACATAAAGCCAGAGAGACTAAAAAAGATTGACTTTAAAAATGTATATATTTTCATTTGTATGAAATAGAGCCATTTATAAATCTCCTTCCTCCCTTTTTTTCTTTCTTCTTTCTCTCTCTTGCAATTCTCACTTCTGGGCTTGTGTAATGCACTTCTTTCTTATTTACCCTAAATCTAGTACCACTTGGATGACTTGTCTGCAGAAGGATACATATTTCCTTTCTTACTGTCCATTTGTATTTTGGATTCAATTAACATACATTTATATATTTATTTGTAACCACCCTGAACAATTCTTGCTTATTCGTTTGTAAGTTATTACAGAGTAAGTGCTGCAAGCCCCAGGAAATTACATTCAATAAATATTTATTGACTACATTGCGCTCATGGGGCTAGAAGGCAGTCAATGAAATGTCTTTCTGGTTTATGCATTAATCATCAGGCTACCAGAGAGACTGTCTGGAGGCTGTGTGGGATGTAGATTATGTTCTCCACTTCAGGTTGTTTCAGTCCCGTGGTGGGCCATGAGCTCTGATTTGAATTGTATGTGGCCTCTCTGATGAAAACTTGAGGTGCTGTCTTC